TTTGTTTTGTTTTTGTATTTTTTTAGGAAATGTTCTGTTGAGTGTTCAGGGTCTCACTACTAGATTGGACTTGTAGTGATCCGCCTGTTTACAGCCTCCCAAGATCTGGGATTACAGGTGCATGCCACCATGCCCAGTCTCAATCACTGTCTCAGTGCACTCCAGGAGCAGAGTGGGGCCAGCACAGTGGCATTATTGTTATTCAGTCTTTCCTTTTCTTGCAGGAGAGGGCTACTGGGGATTGAAGGCAAGGAGTGCTGTGCTGTTTTCATTTTTGGAGACAGGGACTCACTAAATTGCCAAGGCTAGACTTGAATTTGTAATCCTTCTGCCTCAGCCTCCAGAGATTCACATGACAGTGTGCCTGGCATTATGTACTTTCTGTGTATCATCCAGGCACAGTTATAGGTGGTGCATAAGAAAAAGCCCTTCCCTGCCCTCATGGGACACTATTTCTGTCCTCCTCACACAAAAACATCCTCTAAGGTACAGAAGGCAGTCAGGGTGTGAAATCTTAGGGCTGGCCCAGCCTGGGAGCTCAGGAACACTGAGCTGGTCTTGCCCAAAGAAAGATCAGCTGGTTACTGGGCAGCTGGAGCAGGGACAGCATCCCCTGGGAGGCTGATGAGGTGGCCAGCTCCTTGGAGCCTTCAGCAATGTCCTTGTGTCTCTGAGCCTTGCTGGCCTCATCTGCAAACAGTGCACTCCCTGGGACCTGTGTACAAGCCCCAGGCCTACGTGCAGGTAGAGCCCATGAAGTTCTCTCCACGATGGTGCAGAGTTCTGGGGCCTGAATAGATTGAAGAGCAGGTTGTAGTCCAGCACTAGTTGTGTGCTGAACTTCCAATTACCATTTGGCTTGCAATATCTGTCTACAAATAGGGAAACTGAAATTCAGAGATTCAGGGCCCTACACCATACAGATGATCAGATGTTAGGGCTGGCCTGCGTCCACATGCGGAGTGCACTTTGAGTCATGGTCTAGAGTTCTGGGGGGTGTTTTCTTGCTCCCCTTGCCCTGTGTGCCTCTTCCTTCAGCCAGGCTCCTGCACTGCTCTGTCTGATGCACCCTCTGTCCCTAGAAAGTCATCTGTGTCCTGGAGATGGAAAATGGCTACTGGTGCTTCAGGAGGAAGAAGCAACGGTCAGGTGTTCTGCTGACATTGGGAACTAGGCCAGATGCAAGCCCCAATGAGCAGTGGTGCTTCAGGTGAGCCAGGTGGGCAGGGGCCTTGCTGAGCCAGGAATCCCTGGGGCCTGTCCCCAGTGCAGGCCAGAGTCATTCTCCTCAGAGCTCGGGGATGGCTGCTAGGAGTCAGGTCATGGGAGAGGCAAGGCTGAGGAGTGCCGGGAGATCCTTGTAGGCAAGGGAGGTTGGCAATACTGAATTTCACAGCCTGCGGTGGCCACTTCTTGGGTCTGCCCATCTGACAGTCTCAGTGGCTTCCACTGAAGTTTCCTCCCATGTGGTGACCCCTCCTTGGGTTGGTCCTGGGTGTGCCCCAACCTCCAATTCTTCCAGCCTGATGTTGGAGGTGTAAGCCCTTCCATGCAGAGTAGGCTCTTCCCTGCTCAGGAACAGCTGGGTGCTAGGAGAGGGAAGCCAGTGACACCCACCCAGTTAGAAGCACTGGGTTATGGGGAAGCAGTCGAGCAGGAAGAGGGAATGAGGGCTTTGTGCTAATAAACAGGCATTAGAGGGCCTTCCCAGCCAGAGCACCAGAAGGGGCCTGATCTCGGTTCCTCTTCTCTGGTTGCTCTAGGTAACGCAGGCTGCTGTGAAGAGCCCAGAGGGAACAGGCTTCTGGTGGAGTATGGTGGCCCAGTGTCCACAGAGGAGGGCAGAGAAGTCTTGTCCTCTCACCATCCCTGTGCCTACTAGGGCATCTGCACAGTTCACTGACAAGTGCAGAGGCCTGGACTCTCTAGAGCGAGGTACGCTATGCTGCTGGCTCCCTGGACCTTTAGAGCTGCTTCATTGTCCACAGGGTGGAGGAAGTGAACTGGACTGCGTGGAAGCAGAGAGTGCCCACAGTGTGTGAGGACCTCACAGGGCAAGGCATTCCTGGTGAGTAGCTGCTGGGTGTCTGCTATGCCTCAGGGTCTTGCCAACTCTAGGGTGGAAGGACACCTCAGCACAGCCTTCTCCCTGACTCCCACTGGCTTCCTCCTGTCAAGCTCTCCCTTGCCTGGGCGGCAGTCAGCTCCCTCCCATTTACTCACTCAGTTCTACCCACTGCCAGACTTGGGCTCAGCCAGGGGACCCAGCATAGCAGCAAGGTAGGAAAGGCTGGCTCTCAAAACAGGTGGTATCTCTTTGGGCCCCATGGGTACCGCTTTACAGGCCAGCTTTGTTGATCCTGAGTTTCCTCCATTACACGAAGTTCCAGTCCCTCCACACTGTGAAGTCACTTCTTGTGCCTCTCTTCAAGTCTGTGAGCTGTGACAGACAGGATGGCCTTCCTGTTCCCCTCAGCTATGTCCACCAATATGTACTCCTTGTGGTCACCTCACTTACCTATTTCAAGGAGTAGCCCTCTCCACAGGCTGCCCTTTTTTATTTTTCTCTTCTTTGTTTTGAGACAGGGTCTCACTGTGTACTTCAGTTTTGACTTGAATTCACTGTGTAGCCCAATCTGGTTTTGAATTCACAGCCGTGAGCTTCCTGAGCTGAGCTCCTGCCTGAGCTTCCTGAGTACAGTGATCCCAAGCCTGAGCCACTAGGCCAGGAAGCCTACCCTTTTCTGCTAAAACACTCAAGAGCTCCCACCTTGTCTTCCATTGGCTCTCTTCTTCTCTTTTCTCCATTTCCTGACAAATGTCACCTGCTTATGCCTGTGGCCCCTAAATGCCCCATCCTAAAGACCCTCTTGAGTTGCCTATGTGCTCTACTTTACAGTGGTTCATGGCCAACTTTGTGTATAGCCTACTGACTTTTCACTCTTGGTCCCCATATGTAAAATGTTCTTTCTGCTGGGAAAGACTCACAGGTGCTGGCCACAAACAAAGACCCATGGACACTCCATGCACGCAAAGCGAGGGCTTGAGCAAAAGAGTACTACTGCGCTGCCTTTGGTCTTTTTTATACATACATATTGAGTCTCAGCCTTTAGGTTACTCTTGGTTCACAAAACAAGCTCTTATGGTGTGTGCCTAAGATCCTAAGAACGTGCTAGGCATCTGGGAGCAAAGACACAAAAACAGGGTGACCCTGAGGAGCTTCTGGTGTTCCTGGTTACTCCCTCTGCTGTTGCAGTTCTGTTTTCCTGTTTCTTGTCACACATGCCCTGCAGGTCATTCTGCACATCTCTATTTTAAATCCTTCTTATCCCAACAACTTTGTACCCTCTTCTTATCTTTCTCTCTTTTCCTTCAAAGCCAAGACTGAAGGTCACCTTGTCCTTCACCTTGCCCCATGCACTCCATGCTTAAACCGCACACCTTGAGGCCTGCTGTCAATGTCATAGGCTGCCCTACTAGGGAACCTGTAGTAATACCATCCTGCTGTGCCAAGGCGGGAAAGCATTCTGCTTGGCCCTTCTATTGGCTGTCTCACCTGGTGTTGTGTGATCTAGACTTAGGCAGTCACTCATCTCTGACCCGGTGCCCCTCATTTCTGCAGATTCTTACTGAAGGGTGTCTATACCCTGACCTGCAGGTGGTTTAGTTTCTTGTTTCTTTTTTCTTTTTGAAAAAGTGTTTTGCTATGTATTCCAGGGTAGCCTTGAACTCACTATGCAGCCTGGGCTAGCCCTCAAAGTTGTAGGAATTCTGGTTCAGCCTCCCAAGTGCTGGGACTGTAAGTGTGCACCACTACACCCAGCACTTTCTCTTGTGTTTTTGAGAAAGGATCTCACTTTGTTGATGATGTTGGCCTTGAACTCACTAGGAGCCCAGGGAGGCCTAGAACTAAAAAACATCCTCCTGGCTGGAGCTCTGGAGTGCTAGGACCTAAGGCATGTGTAAGCAAGCCCAGCTTACCCTGACCTTCAGACATTTTTCTGCTCCAGGCTTATCCCACTCTTACTATTAGTGTAGACAAGAACTTTTCAAGGCCTAGAGCTCCTGTGGCCCAGGGGGCCAGGCTCTCAAGTGTGGAGGTCACAGCTCATCTGCGGTCCAACTCACTTCTCACTGCTCAGGGCTGCAATACCCTTTGGTTCTTGTCCCTGCTGGAATTGCACCTTTTCCTCTCTGGGTATCCAAATCTGTCACATTCCCTTCAAAATGGGTCCTTTGTCACCTCTGCATTCTCTGAGCATCTAATTTATTTGTCTACTGTTTTCAACATTCTCAGATTTTCTGGTTTCTGGTGCATAGCTGGTCACCTGTGGGGACTGGTAAGTTTTAGGGGGGAACCTAGGACTGGCACATGCAGCAGGTTGCTAAATGCTCCTGGAAGGAGGGAAGCAGGGAGAAGGGTTGTAGGACTCTAAGATCACCTGCCATCCACTGGTGTGATGGGCTTTCATAGCCCTGGTGCCCTCCCAAGAGCCAAACTACAGTGTTTCTCATCCCATTCATAGGCACTGTGAAGAAACCTGGCCTGTCCACTCAACGCGAGGAGGAGCCTTTCTCATAGGAAGACCACCTGCCCCTGCAGGTGCTTCAGTCCCATTGATGGCCGGACGAGGCAGGAATCTTTCCAGCCACATCTGCCAGTTCTGAGGCTCTTGAATATAAATATTTCTTTTAAAAATAATAGCTAATTGTTTGAAATATTATTTGAGCAAGTATTATTTATTGAGATCCATGGTCTAGTAACCTCTGCATGTTTCTATGTGTACCCATGTGGGTCACGGGACTCGGCTATTTCCAATTTTATGTGCACACAAAAAATCCATCCTCTTCCTGGGGGTGGCCTGCTGCCTTTGAGGTCCTGTGGCTGCTCTCATGGCAGACTTGGAGGTCAACATGGGCAAGCGCAACCACTTCTCCACTGTCTTTTTCTTTTTCTTTTTTTTTGCTGAACCAGGGATTGAACTCAGGCCTTTGCACTTGCCAAGGAAGTGCTTATTCCACTGAGCCATCTCCCCGGCCCCCCTCCACTGTCTTTTTCTACCATCAGACATCTGCTAAAATTGTTTCAAGGTGGGCAGCTAGGTGAGGCAGGAGGGCGTAAGGGCGAGATCACTTGGGCAATTTAGTAGGACCTTAACTCAACAATAAATGAACCCATATGGTGAATGTATTATGATATATATCTAAAATGTACCAAGAAATTTCATTAGAACAACAAAATGGGGAGGAGAAATGAGGGGAACAGAACTGTGAAAAATTCACTGCAAGATGTCTGGCAGTATAGTTTCCTTTGAGCTCTTTAGTTGAGACTCTGGAATATTGCATTTCCCTGTCTGGTACGCCACAGTGTTATACTTAAATTTTCCACTCCTTCATGCTATTCTCTGTAGGAGACAAAGGGGTTTTTCTAAGACACAAGGCAAACATGTCACCCCTCTGCTCTGAAGGTCTGACAGGTTCACCAGGGCCTAGAGAATGTCCTTGCAGGCATGCTCAACCCTTCAGCCTTCTCCTGTATCACTGCTGCCTGTTGGAGAATTTGGGGACAGGTCATCAGAACTTGGACCACTCATTTCCTCCTAGTCTTTCTAAGTGCTGGGAACTGAACCCAGGCTTTGAGTTTCTTAGCCAAGTGCTCTATCACTGAGTCTACTCCAGCCCTCACCAATTTCATCAGGCAAGCTGAGGGTCCTCGTGTTTGACCCCTTGAGCTCATTGTGGAAGAGCCATTAAAATCCTGCTTCTTAGGGCTGGCCAAATAGCTCTGTAGATTAAATTGCCAAGTGCAGGGGTGGGGGTGGGGGTGGCTGGATCCCAGGATTGCTGAGCCGGCAATTGAGATTGAGTGTGGTGGCACACGCCTGTAATTCCAGCTCTTGGGAGGATGTAAACAGGCGGATCACTACCAGTTCGATCTAGTAGTGAGATCCTGAACACCCTGTAGACCCTTCCCTAAAATACAAAATATATATATGATAAATCCTGCTTCTTTCTGTGAATAATCCCTTGATGTCTAGTGCTACAGTTTGGAAAGGCACCTAACTGTGGCACTTAAGGGAACATTTTCTCTTTAAATTCTTGTTCCTTGAATTTTTCTACATTACATGATTTCATGGAACAATTCTGAAAATTCCAACTTTTGGGGTAAATGAGTTAGCCCAAAATGTTCTCATTCCAGTTCTCTGGAGACAAAATGAACTGCTCTCCCTTGGTATAGGGTTTGTGTACAAAATATGCACACAGAGATGATTTTTTTTTGGTTTTTTTTTTTAACCCCCTCTGTGTGTGTGTGTGTG